CAAAAGAGGGTGAGTGAACACGATTATGACAGATTGAAAACAAAGAGGGAAAGTAAAAAAGGGAGAAAGCAGTTACGAAAAAAAATAAATAAATAGAGGAAGAAGCAAAAGAATCGGAATGGCTCTTCTCTAAAATTCCAGACGTGCGACACGCGGCTGAAGAACTCCGTATACACTTTTATACCTATTCTATCACGCACGCACGCACACACACACACACACACACACACACACACACACACACACACACACACACACACACACACACACACACACACAGAGAAGCTCGTGCATAGCGCGCGTTCGCGTAGTCCATGTTGTGTAGACTCTTCTTCTAAAGCTGTATTTTCGTTCTTGTCGGGATACTGCCCTCAACATGGCAGTCGCCCCTTCCATGGCCCTGTGCAAATCTACACTGCCACAATCGATTTTTAATTTTGCCATGCATGGCATCTAGACACCCAGACAGCTCGAACTAACGCAAAAAAATCGACCCTCAAACGCAGTATGGGTGAAGGTCCGTGGGTAGGGGTTGACGTAAAAGGAGTGGGTGGTAGTGGGTAAGGAAGAAATATGGTGTTGAGAGGAGTTCTGCTGGGGGTCGGGCGAATATATTGGGTGGGTGGGGTGATTGACAAAGAGGGTCCAAAACAATGAGGTAAAGAAAGAAAGAAAGAAAGAAAGAAAGAAAGAAAGAAAGAAAGAAAGAATGTGGAAGTCATAGATGGGAGAGGTAAGCTGTGGGAGAAAAAAATGCAGAATTCGTTTTCGATATGAATCTTCAAGCACTTCGCGTTCAAGAACGCTTTCATACTTACATACATAGAAATATTTCATCCAAACAGACGCACACACATATAGGAAAGCGTACACACAAACACATACGCACACACACACGTGTATATATATATATATATATATATATATATATATATATATATATACGTACATAAATAGCAAAAATATCTCCATGCTCAAAACTACTGTATATGAATGAATAAGAATAATTAGATATACATGTATAAACCTTACTAGCACACTTATATTCCTGTCTTCAAATGATAATGAGCAAATATTAAACGAAAGCAATATATATATATATATATATATATATATATATATATATCGGGGGGTGATGTTAAGAATGCACATTTTACAGTTGCATGCGCAAGCATAGACCAATATATCTTGACAGGGATATATTGCATATAAACATTGCATACGGCAATACTCCAAACGTTAGGCATTATTCCATACCTGCTATATCTACGTTATTTATAACGGCATCTCTTCTAGTTTCATAAAACGTATGTACAAATGAATGATTATAATGTAGTCGTGTGTGGTGGAGCTGTCAAATAGGTATATTTATTCTGCAAATTATTGCATATAAGTGGTCATACATTTACAATGTATATACCTACACACCCTCCCACATACGCACATACACACACACACACACACACATATATATATATATATATATATATATATATATATATACATATATATCCTTCAATATATATTTAACAAACAATATGTACGTGTAACCTTCCATTAACTGTAAATTATTATGTAATAAGTTTATACAATTTTATACATATGCATATACATGCATGTATAGATACATATATACATATATATAATATTTATTATTTTATATCAAGCGTACAATATAGGAATAAAATGTGTATGCATAAATATATGATTCTGAATATATATATATATATATATATATATATATATATATATATATATATATATATATATATATATATAAAACAGGGCAAATGGCAGCGTACACGTAGACATATAATGGAGTAAGCATGCCTTGGGTGACCTCTGTCTCCAACCTCATAGGCATGTTTTGCATTCTAATGTCCAATCCACAAAAGGGAATAGCTTGGCTTACCCCACTATCTGTCTTTCTCTCCGTCTCTCTGTCTGTTTCTCTCTCTCTCTCTCTCTCTCTCTCTCTCTCTCTATTTCTATTTCTTTCCCTCTCACTCACACACTCACTATCTATCTATCTATCTATCTATCTATCTATCTATCTATCTATCTATCCTTTTCTATAATACTACCGTCTTTCTCTCCCATACGCTTAGCGAAATGGTTTTTGTAGCCTGCAGAAACGTACAGGGTCTTCATGTTAAAAACCAATTAAGATGTAGTTAGGTGCATGTATGCCAAAGTGACAAATGTCGGCATACAGAAAGAGACCAGCACAAAAAAAATATGAAGGGGGAAAAAAAAAAGTCATTTACTCATAGACACATTTGGTTCCCATACGCTAACACAGACATAGGCGTGTTATTCGCTATGCACATATTTATATATGAAATTGTATCTATAGTGTATGTGTATAAACAAAACAGGAAAAATGTAGGGAAGGGCAGAAACCATATATTATTTGGTAATTCAGGGGTTCACATCGATACAGCCTTCAAAAACTAATGATTTTTTTTATATTCTAAGATATGAAGAATTGATATTGTTTTTTTTTAATTTCTAGCGTGATTTATTTTCTTATTGTACTGGAGAACACCTTTTAAATAAATGCCTTAGAAAAAAAAAAAGAGATATTAATTAAATTATATATTTTAAATGAAAAATTGTTTGAAGTAAGATTTTCCACTTTCTAAAAGCGGTTAATGATTTTAAGCCTGAAAACTCAAGATGGAGCATTTCACATTTTGACTCCCTTTCTGGTTCTATTCCACCTCAGCCATACCTATATGAACTGATATATACAAAAATTTTATTTATACTACATGGATTTTTCTAGTTTAATTCCAAACATTAATGCATAGGATCTCATGATTTGATTTTAAATGAGTCATTTTAAATCGTGCGTCGTCTTGACTGTTTTTTGTTTCGGTTTTTTAATATTCATTGTTTTTTTTTAGAATTAAAACACCTGTAAATTCTAGTAAAGCGTTTCATCCACATTGCGCTCAATTCTATTTAATATTTTCATTGTTTGTTGAATAAAATCAATTGTTACCTAACAGATGAAAAGCCAGTGTACAGGCGAAATTTTAAGCTATTTTCAGCAGAAGGCTTAAATAAGGCCTTTGACATCCAATAAGAAATCATCATTCTGTAACAGTCCTTTACGGAACATTACAGTAATTTGAATTTCATGCCCATCATAAACATTTACTTCAAATATCTAGGGAGATTTCACTAAAGATTTGAAATATTCGATACCGGTATTATACGGTACCATGTCATTTAAATAAGTTAATAAGTGTTAACGTTTAATGCTATGTTAACGTTTATGCTCCACACCGATTACTTTGAATAGAGATATAAATATATGATTTTTATAAAACTTACTAAGAAAAATAATTGGGGAAAGGACTCTCATAAGTTTGACATCTGGCAGCTTTTCCAATAGATGTCTACTGTATACGGTTAAACAAAAATATGTCTACGTTTTAACGGACGGACACAACGTAAGGCTCTATTCTGGCATTATGCTAATCCAACCACTCACTAAAAACGTTACAGGCATTTGAATTTTTCACACATTAATATGGTAAAAACATGTTTACAGTGTCTCATTAGTAATTACAGAAAATTTGGTAACCTTGAATTATCGTATATACTTGAGCATATACGGTTATTCATTTCATTCATTTTTACTCAAAAAATACTGGGTCGCACTATACATAGGTGATTTTTTGAAGAGGTTAAAAATCATGCATTTTCGTTGAACGCATCCTATCTGATAGACCTATGTTCTCACGGTACTTGTGGCTAACCTTAACGGTACAGGTAAGCTCTTTTATCCTGCCTTCCATAGCCTAGATTCTTTCTTTCTGTTACTACATGAACAGCAGAACATCATTCACTATGTGTGCCGCTTAAAATCTATAAATACTTTATATAAATTAAGAATTAGCAATGTCTTTTTTTTTTCGGTTCTCCAATTTGCGTTCATCTTGGTTTGCACGTATTTACATCTCAGTTGTCAGGCATGAACGAAAACAAAAGTACGGTATCTAAATCTTCATATCAGATATTTTACGGTAAGTGGTTTTTCTCACCATTTTGAGGTAGCTTTGTACAAATTTTGGACTATTTATTTGTTATTAAATATGTTCACAGTGATGCCCAGTACTGAAATATTTGACTACGGTAACCCTATTAGTATTGCTCAGAAGCTGGGGTTGTATTATACACGAACTATATGAGAAAATCAAGTTTTCACAAAAAATTTCAGGGGTTGCACTATAAATGAAATAGACTTATACACAAGCATATACGGTATCCGATTGCAAACAAACAAGCAAAAAATGATATCTGGTGTAGATATGCATAAAAACGCATGCGCGTTGCCTGTAAAATGGCTGAGGTATTTGTGTATTTTCCACTAATGCCGGAGGTCGGTGTTTGAACCCAAGTAAAATAAGCATTTCCATTTTTAAGACAGTCAGGCAGACCCTACTCATTAAGGAGAATGATGCAACATAATCCATCATTTAATCTTTGTTTCGCCTACTTCGTTGTCCTAGACTAAGCCATAAGACTAAGTAATAATAAACACACCAAAAATAAATTAATATACCTTTTTATTGAATTGGTTGACATCATTAATGAGAAGGGGGTGTTTGATGAAATAGTAAGGACATTGATATTTGGTCGGAAATTGATCGATTTTAGTCGTAAGTCACCACGATTTATCTATCGATCTCCTTTTGATCCTCAGGCATATATCGACCCCTCCCTGGATAGTCCCATCGACCACCAGGGATCGATATAGACAACTTTAAGGATCCCTGATCTAAATAGATAATTAGAGAAAGATTTTGGCTTAATCTGTCACAAGGACAAATGATTATATGCGTGAAAGAGATAAAAAAAACAGTCTTTGTACATACACCTGCGTAGGTAAGTGTTTTTAAAATCCTCTCTTCCTTCCGCTAACCTCTCTCTCTCTCTCTCTCTCTCTCTCTCTCTCTCTCTCTCTTTCATAGGAAGCAACTCATCGAACCAGATCACCGAAGTTAAGCAACGTCGAACCTGGCCAGTACCTGGATGTGTGACCGCTTGGGAATACTAAGTGCTGTATGCTTGGACGTGCAGGTGGTGTAATGAATACTTGCTCGGAATTGTTAATCGGAAAGCCGTGTTTCAATTCCAGTTGAGTTCATTATATTCACTTACGCACAAATACCTTTGGGAATAGTATGAATTCACCTCTTCTCCCCTTCCCCCCACCAGCTAGAGTTTAATTATTAAGACTTATCACTAAATAATTTTTATCTCTAAAAACAATCTAACAATCTAAAAATATCTTATGGCTTTAAATAACCTGCAAAGGGCTGATAATCCGTAGAAAATGAATTAATCATTCAAATCAATCATCGGATCAGTTACCAAATTTGAAGATGTCTGTCGCTAATTTTGTACAGTTTTATTTTGTGTCGTAAGATTTGATTTTATTATTTAGTGAATAAACAAAATGAATACATCAAGTGTTTGAGCTTTTTAACTTTTGCAAATGTTGCATTGATATTTTAATCATTTTCTTTTAATCCAAGTTATTAATAAATAAACTCAGGTTTAACCTTTCTTTCTCTATCAATTTTTACAGATTTATATTCTCTCTCTCTCTCTCTCTCTCTCTCTCTCTCTCTCTTTCCAAACTCCAAGTGACTGTTTCTTATTATATCGATACAATCATTATGAATTCTCCATATTTCTTTTTTCTCTATTTTATTCTGTCAGTGATATTATTCCGTTGTTACTTTCACATCCTTTAACTTTTATTGATTTTTTAGACTTAGTTTTTTTCGCAGCTCTGTCTACACCCGCTTTGCAATGGGCAAATTCACTTCCCCTTTGAGTTTCGTTATTTCTCTTATCCAGAGGAGCATTGTTAGAAAAATTATGGGTTCTTCTATTTAAAAAAAAAAATGATTGTGTATTGCGATTTCATGGCAATCTAGCCATTACCTTTTGAAATAGAATAGACAGACTGAATACAGCTATATATATATATATATATATATATATATATATATATATATATATATATATATATATTTATGTGTGTGTGTGTGTGTGTGTGTGTGTGTGTGTAATCACTTTATTGAAGGTAAAAAATATCATCATGATTCCAACAATATATCTGCTTATAATTCGATTTTAATAATACGTAAGTATTCTTTAAGGAGAACGGTTATTTAAAGAAGCTTAAATAGTAAAGACTATTGTCTTAATATAACTAGCTACTGTGGCAAAGGAACATCAAAGAGTCGCTTTTTTTTTTTTTTTTTTTTTTTTTGGTGCTTGCCAAGGTCATCACTTTTAATAATAATAATAATGCTTACCGTTTAGCTTACTCTAAAATGATCCTTCTTTTTCACTTATGTAAATTGCTACATGAGCATTGAGCTAAATCTTACACAATATTCATTTTTTACTATAATATCAAGTTGTTCGCTATGATTATTATTATTCCGATTTGACTGATTTTCTATTTGGTGCAATTCTTTACGAAGTCGTTTAACTGGGACCTGAAGTAAAGGAAGGTTTTTCTTAGAAAGTTATTGAGTATATTGTGAGATTTTATGAATATATAAGCAGTGTTCATGAGTAAAACCTTTTGACAATCTAGGACTGTGAGGGGGTTTTCCTGTGATTATCTTTATGTATATATCAGTATTCTTTTTAATAATTCCCAGTACTCTTATTATCACCGGAATTGTGGTTGTGTTTAAATGTCACATTCTTGCAATTTATATTTCCAGGACTATATTTTGCAAGTGTGTCAAATTCTTTTGCTTAGATGTTTTTTTTTTTTTGTTGTTTTTGTTTTTATCAAAGAGTATGGTTTTGTCTATGAAATAGGCCCTATATTTTTTTTAAGTTTTTTATTATGTGATACATTGGCTATTATTATTCCATTAATTATTATTTTATTAATACTGGGCACAACTTTCAACTTCATAGCAATTTTATTCAATTCTTTAATACAATCAAATATTTTACCAGCTTTTCATTCTTTTCAATTTTACTCTGTTTGAATGGCAAACGTTTTTAACTTATCAATCTTTTTCTTGCTTAAGATGACTACATCCGATCTCCTGACCTAGACTATGTGATCTGTTTGAATTTCAAAATTTCAAAGAATTTAATTTTCTATTCTCTTCGAGAGAGTCTCTGATCTGTACTTTTGCGCAGCGCTCAGTGAATTGCTGTTCCTACCCTGTCATAGTTATTTTTGTATTCATTCTGAGCTAGTTTGTTATATTCATTTAAATATATTAGCATGTGATTATCAGTTTCATCTGCTCCACAAAAACAGTATTAGTATTGGGTTTTGACTGTTTTCACTTAGTTATTTTGATTTCCATAAAGATTATTATTATTTTGTTAATCGAGATGGTGGTGATGTTTGTTGCTGTAGTTGTTGTTCGCAATCCTAGTCCTTGGTGTCTATTTTATTCATATACTTTTGAAACAATGAATTAGTAAACTTTGTTAAAATGTTAAAATCTATTCTCATTGCTTAACATGCAAACAATTTTCTTGCTTTCCCCGAATCAGTGTAGTATTGCCATTTTTATTTAAATTATGCAGCAACACACGGATCACGTATCAAAATAAAAAATGGCGTTTTTTTAAAAATTTTCAACAAATTTATACACAAGTATGTCTAGAAAATGAAAAATAATGGAAATTTAAACCAATACTCGAATAACTTAACTAACATAAATTGAATCTGAGTAGTTTTCATTATATATTTTTGTAATATTGCAAGTAATAATCTAAAACAAAAATATTTAATAAAGAGTTTAAATTTCTCAATAGAAACTTTGATAGCTCCGTTTCCAGTTGATCAATACAGTTACTTTTGTCACAACGAGGGAAGAAACTTACAACATTTACCATCTAACTCACCATCATTATACATTAAATCATTCCAGTCATCACACTCACCTGCCAAGAAAATTAAGTTATGATAGTTGGATTAGCTAAAAAATTATGCTGTATATCTGCCAGGCATTGGCCCCACATCGCGCGCCATTTGTAAACAACACACGCTTCGTTGCGTCCCTTCTTGTTATTATGAGCCTCAAGCAGTGCAAGTTATTTGCTTTTCCCGCTCAGAATAGATAGATTGTGATAGATTGATATAATGGATGTGTCTTTATTTGGAAAAAATAGTAGATTACATGAACGAGGAAAACAAAATATTCATCCAAATTTACTACAACTATTTCGGATATTACTTTATTTAGATATATTCGTTTGAGATAGATAGATAGATAGATAGATAGATAGATAGATAGATAGATAGATAGATAGATAGATAGATTTGCGTGTGTGACTATGCCTATTATAATGTTTCGTTCAAAGCGGATCTAATAAATAACATTACCCGCCAAAAGTTGACGACTTTAAAACATAAATATGTTTGTAAGAAGCAGAGATATAGATGACCAAAATGGTGGGTGTGTGCCGCTATGTGCATCTGTTCATAAGAAAATACCTTTTAAGTACAATACATGTTTTTTTTACTTCTATGAAGACCTTTCAAAGCAAAAAAAGAAATGCACCTCTTATGTTAAAACTGCTTATTTTTCAATTATAATCATCATAATTTAATCATGAAGACAGTTATCGGAGATATCTTGGTTGGTTGGCTGTTTTTGTTAGCGACATACCAACCTCTAATGCCAAAATCTAAACATTTTTGTCCACAGTTTTATTTTATCTTTGGAAATAACAATGGTTTAATGGCACAAGTCCTACTAATTAACCCATACATGGGGAGAAGTGGTGAATTCATAACTTTCCCAAGAGTATTTGGGCCTAAGCGAATATAACGACCACAACTAGAATTGGAACTCAGCTCTCCGATTAACAATTGCGAGTCATTATTCGTTATACCACCCACACATTCAATTTTACAGCACCTAATATTCCCAAATGGTTACTCATCTAGGTACTGACCAGCTTCAACATTGCTTAACTTCGATGATCGTACGGGAACCGGTGTTTCAGCGTGGTGTTGCTGTAAGCCTCTCGGGGCTATGCTTAACTTTCATAAAATCAAAATAGCTTTAAGTTCAATGAATGTCCAATGACGAACTGCTGCCTTAAAATGAATCGCCAACAATTTACAGTCCCTCTAAAAGGACTCATGTCCAACAAAAAGAAAACAAGTTTATTAGATTATAGAAGCTACAGGAATGATTCCGTTCCGCCAGTATTAATACATTGGTGGAAATAATTGTTCTTAAATTAAGGATACTGTTCTTGAATGCTACTATGAGAAATATTTCACGTGGAAAAAAATTAAATGTACTAAGAGAAAAGATATTAAAAGTTATAATCTGGTTTCGTACTTTAGAAAAAAGCTATCCACAGATTGCTTATGAAGCAATTTCAAAACGTAATGGATCTACATAGAAAAGTGATGTCGTCTAGAGTTGAGTTATCGAGTACATAAGATTTAACATTGATTAAAACAAAGCCATTTTGAACAAAATTATCCCATTTCAAACAAAATCAATAGCACTTTAAATATAACGTAATATCCCGTAGATATTAAATCAGTATATAAGCAGTAATGGATATACTCTTAGTTTTTTTGTTGTTGTTTTTTTATACAATTTAATAATAGAAGATTGTTTCAGTTATACTTGGTTTATTTCCTTACCACTGACAAACCCTTCTTTTATGATTTCGATACATAATATGCAGATTGAGTAGTGAAAATGGCTTAGGCAAAATCAAGATTCAAAGGGCGATGAAGCATTGTTAGAAACAGTGGACAATGAAAAGCAAATCCGAACTTTGTTTATGCATATTTGTTTCAAATGTAGAAAGTCACTACAATATGACTGAGATAAGTGTTTTATTTTCTCTTGCCGCCAATATTTTCTGTCACTCGTAACAATTACAATGAATAAATTCTTCCATCGCTCGCGCACGCACGCACGCACAAACACACACACAAACACACACACACACACACACATATATATATATATATATATATATATATATATAGAGAGAGAGAGAGAGAGAGAGACGTGCAATGAGTAAATTGTCGCCATTTTATATTTTTAATTTCGCGCATGCGCGCCGTTTGTTTTTGCCGACTGGTTCAGTTGGGCACCGTCAGTGAGAAAAAGAGCACCACGATGGGATTCACTCCGCCAGAAATTTGGAAACGGCATGTTGTACTGTTTGGTATCCACGCCCAAAGCTCCAATTCGAAAATTTCAGAGTGTTTGGGTGTCAATCTGAGGATAGTGCAGAGAATTTGAAGAGTTGGATGAATCTAATGGTGATTGCGAAGGTACGGCACCTCGGAAAACACACTCTAATCATTTTCATAAGAAAAGTACTCCCGAATTTGTTGGCGATGTCCTCAGACTCAACACGGTGGCCTATATCAAGTAGCTTGAGAAGGTAATGCTGCTTTAGATCAATGTTTAGCAACAAAACTCTGCACCATGCCACATAAGCAGAAGAACCCAGTCATGGCTGTCAGACAATTTTTGCGACCGCATCACCCCTTACATCTGGTCACATAACTCCCCAGACTGCAACCCCCTTGATTATTATGTGTGGGGCGCAGTTGTGCGACACACCCACAAAATTCCTTGTAACACCAAAAATGAACTAAGGCAAGGATTGTGGCAGCATTCACCAAATTAAACAAGGAGAAATCTACAGTTACCTCAATCATCATACAGACATCATTTATGCATCTTTAATTAAATAAATCATTATTATAATAATTTTTGGTTCTAAATAATTTTTACTTTTTATGTATAAATTAATAATTAGGCTTTTTATTTCTTAGCGCATATAATGCTGTTGAGAGGTTAAGTAACAGTAAACAGGACTCTAAGCTTTTGAGTGACACCAAGTCTAAGACGAAAATTTAATTATAAATCGTGAAGACTGCAATTGGAAACCTTTCCACTATCTTTCACAAGAAGTCATAGCAAGTCACACATATTAAATGAAGTTGTGGAAAACCCTGGTCGCCTACGTCCTGAAGGTATTAAAAATAATTCTAATAATTTTTAAAGAAATGTGCAGTTTGTGGAATAATGCGGCCAATTATCTAGAAATTTCCTATTCCAACCATGGGACCTGGGTTCGAATCTCACTATGGGTTGATTTGTCAGGAATGATAAAACTCGGCCTGGGGAGATGACCCGAGCCTATGGCAACTTTGGGAAGTACCTGAAAACCTTATCAAGGGCTGATACAAGACTTGTGAAATAAACAGGGTAGACTAAACTTTTTGGAAGCCATCGACTGTTGCATCAACCCGAAATCACAAGTCATCGTGACCGAGGGTTTGAGCTGGGTTGTTCTAACCGTTGATCACGCTAGATTATAGACTCTCTCCTAGAATCTGTAACTATGGTTTGCTTTGCATAGTTGCAGTATCAAGCACAATTTGGCTCCGTGGGTGTTGAATAAACAGAAAAGGTGCCTGAACAGGCGTCTACAACAGGGATTGTCTAGTCATCCTAACAGACAGACATACTCATAAACAAGCGGCCAGTCATACAATAAAGAAGAAAAAGACAAACGTTCCAGTTTTAGTAAACATAAAGCAAGAAAATCACAGCCTACGGTGATGTTCTCTTTAATTAATATCACCCCAAGGAATAAAATAGCTGAAAATGGAATTCCCGTAAATTAATATCGGTGCAATTCCCAAATTTATATTATTGAGTATAATAGACGAAAAATTAAACTTTTGTGAATATCGCAGGCTAAAAGTCCCCTACACTAATAAAATGAGTGGAACTTACACTCTTTTCGTCCTCATCTCGTTGCCTTAATATCGTACAAGAGACTCTCTGAACACCACCTATTTACATTATGTTAGCCCACGACGTCAAAGGTGAAAGTTTACGTCATGGTAATAGCGACTGATCATTACCGCTAATAACCGATAATTTTTTTGCCTTGCAGTTGAGCGTTCGTCTGGCAAATTGGTGTCTGATATGAAAGTATGTACGAAGCATAATCATGTCCATGAATTCCTTCACGTAGAAATAATTCAACACATCGACGTTTGATGCAGGTTTACGGAGATCAAACAGTAGATGTGAGTACACTCAGGAGGTAGATAATGCATTTCAGGGATGGCGAGAGAGTTGTGTGTGAAAAGCCACACTCCAGGTGGTCTAGAACAGATGACAACCAACAAAATGAAAACTAATGTTCATCGTTGTCGAAACTCCATAGCTAATGGCGGTGGTCATGTGAAAAACATTGTTTTGCAGATGAAAAATTGCTCTATTCAACTTCGTATTTATTGTAGTTTCTGTGGAAATAAATAGAAGGCATTATTTTCAGAAAATCCTTCTTAATCATGACCAACGCCGGATGAAATTGGAAAACTTTCGATTCCTAGTCTTCTATTCTTCCATTTAATATATCTACCGTGTCAGATTTTGTTATGCAGAAAATGGCATCTAATCCCCGTGAAAATGGTAAAGGATTTGTAAGCATCCTTTCCCAGGTGCATTGTGGCAATTATTCAAGCTAATAAGAAGCCGCAAGAAATATTAACAATGTATAATAACTTCTTGAAATGAATATTATGCAATAAATAAATTATAAATATTTTTATCTTAAAACACTGGAGAATAGTATAGCTTTTTATATCTATTTGTTTTAATTCAATATATCTAAAAATTGTCATCTAAAAAAAGATATGACAACAAAAATAAAGAAGATATTGTAAATTTATTGAGTGATGTGAACACAAAAATGGAAATTGTGAAAAAGTTGAACAATAAAAAATTTATAAAAAGATATGTACCAGAAAGCTGGCTTTTCAGAAAAATTACAAGGTTAATAAACAGCAAATTTGGATTGACTAAAAAGGAAATATTTGCAAAAGTGTGGATTAAGAATGTGAACAGAGAAAAATGTAGAACATTAAGAACATTGGTTAAAGACATGAAAGCAAGCAAATTATAAACTTGAAATAAACATCACAAAGAAAAACCTGTAAGTTCGATGAATAAGTACATGAAAACTGTTTTCTCAACACTAATCTTTCGTGATGAATATAGAACTATATTGTATGGACGTAATAGTTGAGCTAGAGCAGTGGTTCCCAAACAATACGGCATGCCTCATAGGTGTGACGGAAGAGGATAGCAGGTGAGGCGGAATGACTGAAAGACACTCAAAGATTTAGAAACAGTTTCAAAAAATTCATATGCAAAAAATAAATTTGATTTCAAAATTTAAAATATTATTATGGATTATTATTATTATTATTATTATAATTGCATGCATGAGTCCCATTGTAAATAGTTATAAATAATTACAGACTGATTTTATCATTGTGATATTTTTGCATTATATCAATTATTAAGAATATAGTAACTAGGGTCCGCAAATTGGAGGAGAGAGTTATCAATGATAATGTTCTGACTTCGAATCCGCGGTTATCTCCCTTTAACCCTCTCTCTCTCTCCGTCTTTTTTATTTTTAAATGTACTTTTTATCACATAAAATTTGGTGAGGCGCGAGCAAATTTTCATTCCGAAAATGTGGCCCAGAGCAAAAAAGTTTGGGAACCATTGGGCTAGATGTTGGCTGTTTCATGGAAAGAGTCAACAAACATGATTTGGAATATTGTTTTGGACTAGTATTGTAGGCAATGATATTATAACTAACTCCAACTTCCTCCAAATTTGATTCCAGTGTCAAGGTAAAAGCTAAGAATTACTGTAAGTTTTTGTTTTGTTTTACAGTTCACAGCCAAGAGGTTTTACGCTATCGCCTATATTCATTGAAAGCAATGCGCCTTCAAATTCTTCATATTCCTCAACTTAAAAAAAAGACTTCAGATTAATGAATTAGCTCCCAGCCTCTGTAAATAGAAATCTTACAGAAAACTTGTGATCCATCACTAAAAGAGAATCCGTATTAATATATAAAATATTAAAATAATAATTTATTTAGATGTATAATATATTGCGTTAATCAAATCATTGTGTGTTTTTGGATAAGAGATT